GAATGGTATGACGTGCGTCCTGATGCTGAATTTTTCGACGACTTGCCAGTCGGCCATCCCTTTGCTGGCACACTTTCTGTGGCCGATATGAAGCTAAAAATTGCACAGTATGGCACATAGAAAATTTGCCTTTTGCCTTTATCTCACATATTATAAATTGTACTGTTTAAATATTTGTATTTCTTTTCAAGAACAATGCAAAATAGCGAAAGTGGCCGCAAAATAAATCACGCAGTGAATACTACCAGCCGTGTTGTTGGTGAGTGCTACAAAGCGGTATAGCCTTAATTGTTAAATATAAATTTATTTATTCGTAGGTGTTGCGCTGTCGCAGGCTAAAGGCACATTCTCAACCTGGTGGTCATCCATCACCACAGCGCCTGCGCAAACAGTCACAGCAACAACAGCCGCTGATGGTGGGGATGGTGATGCAGAAGCAAACGGCATGATGGCACAGCAACAGGAACAGCAAGAAGTCACCGTGACATTCCAAAAAAATTTTGATGACCCAGAACGTGTAAACATACACATTGAGGGCGAAAAGAAAACCACAGACATTGTGAGTAATACTAGTAGTAGCGGCAGTGAAAAGCCTATTGACAGCGCCGAAGAATTGGATGAAGATGAGGTGGTGAAGTTGACTGAAGAAAATGTTAGTGAGATAGACCAAATGAGCGCACAACAAAGGCAACAAGGTATTGTAGAAATTGGACGCGAAGCTGACGTATTAGATAAACCCAAAGCTGCACCTTTGCCAACACCCACTTGTGGCACAGATATTGCAAATGAGGCACCTCGCGGCAACGGTGACGTGTTTATTGTGTGAATTTGTTAAAAAAAAAATTGTTTCTTTATTTGTTATAGTTTGTGCGCAATATTTTGCTTATTATGCATGAATGAAGTTTATATTTTTTGTAATTCAATGAATTTATGACTGCTAATGAGAATAATTTTTTATATTACTTTAAAATCCCCAAACTGTTTTTTCTTTGTTTGCCGCCCGTCAAAACTAACCTTAGTTTACGTTTTTTACGCTTTTGCATTTTGTTCAGTTGTAACATTACACCTGTGTCAAAGTCCTTTTTGGGTAAGATAATTTTGCGAATATTTAATAAAAACTATGATTTAATATTGCGTTAGCGTAAAGGACTACGAATGTATGCGACGATTAAGTAGAAATTATTGGTTGAATTTTTTTTAGTTTTAAATGGGGACATTAGAGATAATTTGAAATTTAAAAATTTCGAGTAATATCTTCATAGTACTCTAAATATAAATCGTCCTTTTCTAGTATATTACATACATAAATATATTTAAACAAAGAATTTTTGTAGCTGTTTCAAGTGCAATTTACATTTCATAAACAAATCAACAACCAATGACCTTTCAAAGAGAAGAGAAACTATATGTAGTAGAACATTTGCTCTAAGCTTTGGGCGGCAATAATTGAAACAAAACAAAAATACCGGAAAGGCATAAGAGATACATTAAAATGTATTGTATGTACTTGTGGCATACTTATTAAAAATGGATATTAATACAAAAAAAAATAAAAAAAGGAATGAATCTTTATTGCTATGGATCAATAATTTCACTCAAGAAGTCACGGCGGACTATGGATTTGTACATGGTCAATCGTAAGCGGAAAGGATTGCCTGAGTAAGCGAAATCAAAATCTTACAATAGTTACAAAACAAAAAAAAAAAACGTTTGTTAAAATAAAATAAATAAAAATTTAAATGGGCGTATTGCAACAGTGCAGACCACAACTCTGAACCCAATGAAATTTTCACCTAATCGCAGCAACGTAAGAGTCAAGCATTTAGACGCAGCATATTGTATTTGGGCAAGTTATTAAGAATATTTAGATATATCAAGCAATTTATATGATGATTAATGTGTACTTGCATTTGTGTGTTGCAATAAATTATTGCGTATTTAATATTGAGAAAAATAAGAACATTAATAAACTGATTTTTATTTCATTGGTTTATACTTAACTTTTTTCTCCTCTTCCTCTATTTGCTGTAGCTCTAAATCGCGTTGTTCAATCAATTGCTCAAACTCCGATAATATCTGATTCGAACGCTCAAGTGTTTTTTCATAGTCCTTGAGGAAGGCTTCACGTTCATCGGCGGCCGCTTTGTACTCACGTTCTGCACGCGTCATCAGTTCCTCATTTTGATTTTCTAACATTGAAATTTCGGTTTGTTTTTCAAGTTTTGTGTCTTGTAGACTTTTGCATTCAGCCTGCATCTCTTGCAGACGTTCTTCTAGCTCTTGCAGTTGCGCATTCATTGCTGCATTTTGCTTTTCTCTTTGTTTTTCAAAATCTCTGCTATTGCGTTCAGCAAGCTTTAGTGCCGTCTCCAGCTCGTCGATTTGAGGATTCAAATTTACCATAATCTCATGGTTTAGTTCATTTTCCTGCTTTTCCAGTTCCTGCTGTTTTTCCACCATTTGCTCTAGTTGTTGCTTCGCATGGTCGCGTGTTTCTTCCAACAATTTTATGCGTTCATTTACATCATCAGGTTCTGGATTTAGTGGCAGTAGAAGCGCGTCCACATTAACTTGCAATTTAGTGCAGCTAACTTCACGTATGCTATCGTTGTATTTAGCAATTAGGTCGGTCAATTGTTTTTTATGACGCGCCAGTAATACTTGCTGATGATGTTGACGATCTTTCAGGTCACATAATGTGCGCTCCATAAGTTTTAGGGTATATTTACCCTGCTCTAGCTCTTGGGCTAACGCCTCTAGCTGGTCTACGCTCATAGTTTGCTTATCAAGTTCATTTTTTATCTGGATCTTTTCCTCTAATAGTTCCATCAATTCGTCTTTGTATTGTTGCCGTTCTGCCTGCTTTTCGCTTAATTGTTTTGTAATTGCTTCGAGTGTTTCCTGGGCTGTCTTTATTTGGGTTTGAGTCTCTTCATGCTCACTTTTCAACTGAAGGCAATGTTCTTCATCTTCTTTGCGTATATGTGGACGCTTCTTCTGCTCCTCTTTTAATTCTTGTTTCAGTTCATGTATTTGCGCATCCAGCGCTAAGGTACCTTGTAGTCCAGAACGTTTATATATTAGTACGCCACATGTTTGCTGCTGTAAGTTTTGGAGATCGTCATCCTTTTGCTTATCCCAGAGCATGAAACCTTCTTCAGAGTTTTGTAACATCAGTTCTGTAAAGTCAGCATCAGGCGATTCCTGCATCAATGAGCTCTGACCTAGTTTCTCTGGGTCTTCAAGTTCAAATTGCATAGCAGAAGCTTCCTCTTCGCTTTCCGGTGGCACAAAATCCATTAGAAAGTCTAATAATTGTATTACATAGCCAAATGAATGCGACGCATTAGGCGTCTTTAGCCATGACTTGTTCACTTGATAGGGATATTTAAGTTTTTGCAGTATATTTATAATATCGTCTACATAATTGCTGCCCACTGTAAATCGTGTACCCCAAATATAGTGTAGAAAATAATTGACAATTCCGATAAACTGTTTTGTGGACATTGTACGCAAGCAACCGCTACGAGCGAAAAAATCGGCTGCCAAACCGTGCACTGCACCAGGTTTGGCGGTTTTCCGCAAGTGCTCCACAATACGCTGTGCCCTCTCTTGCACCCAAATTTTATCATTATGCGCACTGCGTTGCTTTTCTGCATTAAATAATGCACATGATGTTAATTTCCTTACAGAATTGGGTGTTTTTTGTGGTGTAGTACGACTGCCAAGTAGCGTAGAGCCGGGTAAACCGGTTTGGCGTTCTATCGAAGAGGGACGCGTGATGTGACTGGATTTACTGCTCAGTATAAAAACAAGGCTATAAAAGAAGTCCTGGAAATAATATACGGTATTTACCTTGAGTTGTATTTGTGTGCAGTGCCTGGAGCATCCGCATTGGAGACATTTTGCATTTGCTTTTGGGGTGTAATGCGACTGGCACGATGTGTAGAGCTGGGTAGCACCAAAGTTTGACGTTCTATCGAAGGCGGGCGTGCAATGCGACTTTGCCGCTGTTGTGTGCTCCTAAAAGAATCGACAATAAATTTGTAATAAACTGGAAAAGGATTTTATAACAAACCTAGATGAGCGTTTAGTTGCTGTGCCCGGTTCTTCACAAAACTCCGATGTACGACGAGGGCGCTGCATTGTGACTGTATTGTGTTGAAAGTATTTATCTTGGTTGAATTCAATGGGGTCTTTTGTTTATTACTCTACTAAAATGATTAGGCAAAACTGAATCGGACAAACGTTATGATTTTTTCGCGCACTTGTTAAATGAAAGTGAACGAGTCTCGAATAAAAAGCAACGCTGCGTATTTTTAAACACAGGGTGAAGTGTATAATTGAAATTTATTTATTTATTTTTTCATACGATGTGTAGACCCAACCCATGAACGAATTTGTTCAGAAGCGATGGGTCGGGATAATGGAGGAAGATAAGCTTTACTTGGTAGCTAAAATCTTGAATATTTTAGTAACATAACCAAAAATACGATTTGTTTAGTTTTATTCAGATATGGGCTGACCGCAAAAGCCGCACAAAAAAGAAGATTGCGAACTATATTCGTTAATATAAATATGACAGGTGGGGGTTTCTTTCGGCATTCAGCGCTGACATCAGCCGCATCATTTCTATCAAGGTACATTGAACAGGTAGTATCAGTAGAGCAGCTGATTTGATTTATTTTCAAATTATTTGGTCTCGAAAATGTCAAATATTTTTAATTTTTTCTCACAAAATTCTGAATTGTTAAAATCCATTTGCATGTGAAACCTTTTTCCATACAAAACAAGCGATTGAATAGCAGCTTTTGGATCGTTCGCCCAACTCAGCACCACAACCGCTGATTACTGGCCCTTGTAAAGGATGGATCAATGCTTCGAGAAGCAAACAAATTTACTAGGAAAGAAAGTTGCATCAATTTTTATTTTTTCCAATTTCAATTTTTTATTTTTTATAATTTTTTGTATTTCACATGGCACGCTTTGATTTAGAAGAAAAAATTCAGAACAGTTTTTGACACTTTCGATACCAGAAGCAACAACAAAATACACGCAAATGTTGTTTTTGCTCTACTGATACTACCTGTTTAATGTGCCTTGATTTCTATGTCGAATTTTTGGAATTTCAAGGCCTTCGGTATCACAGGTAGCAGCGTCCGCCTCTGATAATTTGACAGCGACTGACATGCCAGCACTATTCGTTGTGCGTGCAGCAACGATACGCAAAAGTCTCTCAAATGAATGGCAAAAATAGTAAATAACAATTGACGGCGATGCCCATTTTCTATAAAGTGTACCAAATAAATTAAAAATAATAAAACTTTAAAGGAAATACATATATAAAAAAACACCTAAATGTTTCATTTAGCAACGCTGTTCTAGACGAATACAACGTATTCGACGAGCGGAGACGAATCGTTCGTGCCCCCTATCGTTCCAGATACATGATGAGGCTGTTAATATACATATATACTAAATTAGCCGTGCATGTACTCGTCCATGCGCATACATACTTATAAGCAAATTTCAGTAAAAATTAGAAAAATTGAGCTTACCGCTTTCAAAACATTCCTTGTTTATTAGCAAGAGAAATACTACTAATTTGTTTAAAACGTCTTGCACTTTAATTTATTTCGTAGTTATAATTATTGTTTTTAGTTTTATTTTATACTTAAACATTTCCTCTATACATAATTCTTGTATAAATGAAAATAATAACTCAATAATACATAATTACATTTCTTAATACATAAAGTACATAAACAATTAATTAATATCGATCACATTTCCTATAAAAAAACAACGTTTCTCAACTGTTCACACACGTTTCACAGGTGTTTTTTTTTTTTTGTTTTTACAATAGTAACTAAGCGATAAAATACTAAAGAAGTATTAAGTTAAGATAAAAGGAATTTGAAATAATTTTTTTGTGGATCTATGCAGGTACATACACACATCCTTTTTATTTTGGGAGCACTAAAGGGAATTTAAAATTAACAAATTTCGTAGCATTGGAAAACTCGGCAACGGAATAGCATTTCTCTACAATTGTTTGTTGGTTTATTTATTTACATACATGCTAAATTATTATAACAATTTATTTAAATTTTACAGAATGGCCAAAATGACCTTATAAATTCTTAAATGAGCATTTAAAGTAAGCTGTGTATATAAATAAATTATAAAAAAATAAATCTGCGAGTTTCTAATTACATGAAATTAAGTTAAAATTGCCTGATTACTTTTATTATTTTTTTGTTTTCTTCTAGGAGATAATAATACAGTTTAGAAATTGTTTTAAGCATTAACTTAACATATAACAATGGGAAAATGAAAGTCTCCCAGCAAGCAATGATTTTAATGGTGGTTTGAGGCAATGTGAATTTTTAAGCGCGGAATAATTGGACTAACCTTAGAAAACACCAAGGCAACGCAAGAATATCCTGTACATTAGACCGTATCACGATGTATGGGCCGAAAAAACGTTCAATTAACTCCAAGCCATTTTAATCATTCACTAGATTGTGTCAGAAAAATTATCCCCATGTCAAAATATATAACCCTTCTGATAATAATAATAATAATAATAAGTAAATATGTAATTAATGGTGTTTTCGTTTCTGCAAAATAAATAAATAACTTTTTTGTAGGAAGGAAGCAGTTTTGAAAAATCATGTTAAAATATTCACAAAAACGGAACTTAATGCCTCAAAATAATTGAAAAATAAACAAGTAATTTTTAAGCAAAACACAAAACTGACTTCGATTCTCATATACAAATTTTAGTGTATCGTTAAACCTTGAAACTTTGCAAAACTTTGGCTTATGCTAATGGAGTTCTGCCTGCGCTGCCCATGGTGAAATTATAAACAGCTGAAGTAATAAAACAGCTTTCTCGCTTTATTTTCCTGACATTCGGCTATTTCATTTAAATTTCTAAAGTCAAATTTTCAAATAAGATAATGTCAATTTTTTTTTCTCGCTCTTCTTACTACAACTGGTATAGATTCACCAAGTGCGCTGCACATGCCTGGCCTTCAGGGTGCCGTTTTCAGAAAAAAAGTTTGAACTTCTTAGCTTGACTTGAAACTCGTAGGATAAACTTTCATGGGGGAACTATGTAGGCTTTTTTGATACCTTTACAATGGTAGATATATCATTTATAGAAATCGGATTTCAAATAAAGAAGTTATAGAAAAAAGTCGATTTAGACATTTTCACAGGATGTTTACACTACTGAAATACTCTGCATAGTCTCATGGCTCAGAACTTAAACAAATTGATTTTTTTTTGATGATACGGTCTAATGTACAAACATACATACATATGTAGTATGTATGTATGTGCAATGTGAATTAATGTATTATACTGTCGTTTTAAGTCTTACATGTTTTTGTTTATTACTTATGTATGTACATATGTACGTATTTTTATTTACGTTTTGTTTATTAATTGAAGTTATGATTTTGCAATTTTAACAAGGTGTATTAAACCAAATAGCATATTTTTTAGCTTTTAACCCAAATCAAATCAAAAATAAATGGCTGTACTATTTAGCTCGCATGAATTACCTATTTATTTATGTGTTGTTATTGTGCATCTAATTATTTATATACTGCTTGAATGAAAATTTTATTTTTTTACCATCTTTAATTTTTTCTTCCCGATCATTTATTTTATTGATACATTTATTTTTAACTTTATTATTGTTTTGTATTTTATTGGTATCTTTACGTGGGGAAACAAGTTCCTAATTGCATTATTTTTACATCTTTAGATTTTGGTTTAATATTTGTTCGTATCCAATGCGTTCAAGTGTCCCATAAACATTTTGTATCGAATATTTTTTACTAAATACGTTTGAAATTTTTGCGCTTGGAAAACACAAACATTTCAGAAAACTTATGTATGTATAATTTTTATAAAACAAATTCCCATGCAATTTGTTTCTTATGCTTAATTTGCCTGGCATTTGTGTTGACGCTTTCTTAATAATATGCTAAATTAAAATTATTAAAAATAACTAGTTAGTCGCACATACAATTCGTTTAATTTTGTACCCCTTTCAATTTCTTTTATTTATATATTTTATATATCTACCCGCAACATGTAGCATTTCGTTTTAAAATAAATATTTTTAAATAACTTTTTACATACATACATATAGTACATAGCATAATCATCGATTTTTAATGATTTTATTTAATTATCTTATTATTGTTTTTATATTTATGGCTTACAAAAATAAATTAGTGCTCTTTAGGTACGTACTGAAGGTTGTTTGGTTGTTTAGTGTATTTTGTTGATGATGGCTCATCGCGCCTTCGCTTTCATAACTCGCTTTTACTTCTTTTAACTTTCATCGCAAATATTTTAAGTCTTTTTTTATGCATATACATATGTACTTCTCATTTAAAGCCTCACACTCATTTATTAGAGTTTATTGTGTTCTTTTTCCCCTTGTTTTTGTTTTTGCAATGTTCAATTCGATGCATTGAGCTGATTCAGATCGGCTCCATATTCTTGATTTATAGAAAGTAAGAAGATAAAGGCCAGTGCCAACAAACTCGAGCCGAGCAGATCGCCCAAAGCTGTCAGATACGGAATCGACGAGTTATCGGGATCGATTTTCCATTTCCACATGGCGTGCACAATGACGTGCGCAATATACAATAGCAACATAACCTAGAAAGAAGAGTAATGGGATAAAGTAAAAGTTAAAGATTATTATGATATGAATTTCACAATTTACAAACATTTTGGCTGCCTACAAATTATAGATAGTACTTAAATATGTACGTATGTATGTATGTACATTAGGGCGGGTAAATTTTTTGAACTTTGCGCGATTTGGCAAACTCCAAATTGATTTTAGGCGCATGGTTTCTTCGGCGAATTCGCTTAAAATTACACGTAGAGTCTTTCCGTGCTATACGCTCATAGTCGAAAAAATCTGCCATACAAATTATCCCATCCTAATGTACATACTTGTCAAGTCCTGAAAACAGCAAAAATCGAGTTATATTCATAACTTTTTTATATACATATGTATATCGTCACCTTAATTCACAAAGGCCCTAACCAAAAAATGTTTATTTTACAGGAGCAAAAAACATTATAAATTGTTTTTTTTTTATGAGTATGAAATACAAGTGAAATACATAATTTAAAGGAATAATCAAACCTTAAAACTGGTTCGCAATTAAAAAAAGTGAGAACAAAAATCCATTTTAGCTATTTTTAGAACGTAGGAAGACGAAAATTTCTCAATTTCTCTGACAGCAAAATCCACTCGAAGTAAGCTTTCATGCTTACACTGAGCAAAAAATCAACCAAAAATTTGTTAATATTATCAAATTTTAACTTGAAAATGAATCAATGTGATTTTTAATTAGTACCTTGGTTGATATTTTCAACAATGATTTGGTAATATTAACCACAGTTTTGTTTACATTAACACAACTTTTTGTTCTGCACTTCGCATATGCTTTTTCATAACTCGGAGACAAAAAACAAAAATTTGTATTGTCATTTGAACAAGTTGCCTCTGACGAGATTTGAAACCGCATCTTCTGAATGTTAGCAAATAACAGCAAGCAACTCTGCACACTCAGCTACAGCCACTTTATAAATATGCCTTCAAATGTTCAACTTGAATCAATTTTATCGCCGTTCGATTTGGTTCTGCACTTCATAGAGGCTTTTTCGTAATTAAGAACAACCAAAAAAAAAGGATAAAATAAACAAGTAAGAAAGTCTAAGTTCGGGCGGAGCCGAACATTAAATACCCGGCGCAAGTATTAAATATATGTTTTCCACCTTTCCGAAAGCTACCGCTACATGATAAGCCGGGGTGTATACATTTTAAGTAAATTAGCGTCCTTAAATTTCGAAATATTATGAATAGAGGAATCGATTAAGCTGTGGCTGTCTGTCCGTCCGTCTGTCTGTGCAGGCGAATAAAATTCAGTGAGTTTTTCGCAAGAGAAGTGTACCCAATTTTGAGAGCTAAAACTCATTCTCACACTTCCTGAAACGCCGAATGAATACAGTACACAATTTTCAATGTACACGTGAAAACTCACAGTTACAGAATCCAGCCCCAGCAGTGGGATTGTGAAAATTGCTATCGATACTTTTGATCGCAAAAAATCTCTAAAAGAATAAGGGTTTCGAGATAACCTGCATGGGCATAACTTTTACGTGAAATAAATATTGTTATCGATCGATTTTTGGTCCATGGAAATAAATTCAGACGTTACTTGCAAAACATGCGGGATATAAGTTGCATGATAATTTTGCACTGCACAAATTGATTAACTCCACTTTTTAAAAATCTTAAATTTAAGTGTGCTTTCTTTTTAGAAAATGTTGAATGAACTGTCGGTTTTAAGTTTAAAAATGCGCACCACTTCGTCTTTATTATTATAAATGATGGTTATCAGCCGCGGGTCAAGAAAAGATAACAGACTATCCAACGGTAATCTGAAATCGATAAGGCCTTTAAGTTTTTATTAGAGGAACAAATAAGTATCGGAAATTTGTATTGATATCGCCCTCTATGGCTGTGCAATTTTTGTGGAAGTTAGTTAGTTTCCTGGACATAACTTCCATGAGATTTTCTTGCAAATTCCATGCAACATCTAGTCAGATGTAACTCATACTTGCAGATTTCGCTGCATAGGCAAAATTCAGTTGTGTTTAAATTTAGAAGGACCCTTCCTCGCCGTTTGCGACCAAACGAGGTTTTAGACAAGGCGATTCACTCTCGTGGGACTTTTCAGCAAAAGCATGGTGCTGCTGGCGTATGCGCATCATATTAACATCGCCGGCCCGACGACCCACGGACGTCAGCGCAGCATTTTCCAGCTACGGGAAAGAAGCGAAAGATGTTGGTCTAGCGGTTAACGAGGACAAGGAAAAGTAGAACCTGAAGCAGTGTAAGACTTTGCCTAAATAGAATCCAGCATAAATACCACTCACAATGTCAGCCCGGATATCAAGTCGTAGGCAACTGAAAAGCAGGGCTATTTTGCGACGAACAAAAATTACGCTCTACAAATCTCTTATCATGCTCATCTTTTCATATGGCGTAGAAACATGAACGATGTCGAAAAATTACAGAGAAAACAATTCAACGCCAGGTCTATGGCCCTGTTCGCGTGAGCGAAGGAGAAGGATTTTATGACAATGGCAAATATTCCCAATCAAAAGGAAAATTGTACGCCAAAACTTAACTGTCAGAAAGTGTTAAAATGGCAAGTTTTTACTAGTTTTGTATTCAATAACCTTTTATGATAATTTTCTCTTCCTCTCTATTTTTCTTTTACGCTCTCGCTGGAAGTACTTACTGGTAAAGTTATTGAATGGACCTATAATCTGGAAAGTAGCTTTTACTAATCTTTATTAGTATTTAGAGTTAATTTAAATTTGTATCTTAAAAATGTTATCTTATACGCAAAATTAGTGCATACATGTGACTTCATATTGACATTAATAATTGTAGCTTGTCAATTACAAACAAAATTAAGACAACCGTTCATAAACAAAAGCAATTGACTATTCCTCTTTTTACTTATGTACATACATACATATATACATATGTATGTATATATGTACGTACCTCATTTCAAGAGGTCGATGTACCGACTCGCATAGAACTTCCGAAATCTGGTAAAAAATTGCGATCAAAATTATAGCTGGGAGCAAAAGCTAACTTTAATTTTCTAAGATCTCGTAGCTTGTGTAAATTTTAATATTTGGGCTCTTACGGTATACAAATTAGGGAAATATCTACGTATACTATTTTCACTTACCCACTAATACATAGCGCCGAGAGTACCGGCACCCAGCCACTCTTCAGTACCGACCGCGTATATTTATTTTTGAGCACAATAGCTACCCACATAGGTAAAAGCACTAAATAACAAGCGACTATAACAAATGTGATCCATAAGTGAGTTTCTGTAAGAGAAAAAAATAAAATATATTAGTGGTAAATAAAACAAATATTAACTATTTTGAGTGGGTCCCCAAAAACTCCCAAAAAAAACTGAAATGGGGGACCCATAAAAATCGTTAGCGATAAAAAAAAGTGGTAAAATCAACAACTGGGTATTATCCTTCTGAAGAGACGTAGAGTTTTCCGATCGGAGCATATTGATATTTAAGAATTCCACGAAAGTTGCATTTTCCCATATAAAACTTTGTGCGCTCTGAGCGATCTTGTAAATATTTTTTGATTTCGAAATAAAAACCCAGGGGTATATTTTTTCGATTTAGAAACAATCCTAGGATGGAAGAGCAATAAAATTCGGAATTTACTTGTTTCACATGCTCTTTTGGACGAACCTATTGTGTACTTACAAGTGAAAAATGGGCTTCTTCTGCCTGGAAAATATTCTGTGCAAATATCCGGCCAAAATGTTAGACAGAGTGTTCAAAATTATGTTAAAAGTGGCTAAAGTTTTTAAAATAAACGTAAAAATTGGGCAATTATGCATTCAATTTATTCAAATCCGATGTTGACATGACGTTTTAATATT